AGAAGGCCACATATGACATGACTCCATTTGTATGAGATGTCCAAAGTAGGCAAATCCATAGAAATAGAAAGTGGATTTGTGGTTGCCAGAGGCTGGTGGGGGGTGTGGGGTGGGGCAGAATGGGGAGTGACTGCTTGTTGGGTATGAGGTTTTATTTTGGGTGATGAAAATGTTCTGGGGCAACCTCTTCGGGTCCCCTCTCACTGTGGGTGCTTTTCTGTTCTCTCAATAAATCCTGCTTTCTAAAAAAAAAAAAGAAAGAAGAAGAAAATATTCTGGAACTAAATTGATGGCTAAACAACATTGTGAAGTTCTAACTGCGACTGAATGTTACACTTTAAAATGATGAATTTCCATTAAGTAGTAGATTTAATTCTACAACAATAAAAATGATCATAAAACAAGAAAAAGGATCAAATGAATAATGCAAAAAAGCACACAGCTCGAAAATATTACTGATATTACTTTGAAAATCCAAGGCAGGAGATTGCTTGAGGCCAGGAGTTTGAGACCATCCTGGACAACATAGTGAAACCTCAGCTCTACAGAAAAATTAAAAAAATTAGCCAGGCATGGTGGTGCATGCCTGTAGTCCCAGCTACTCGGGAGGCTGCGGTGGGAGGATCGCCTGAGCCCAGGAAGTCGAGGCTGCAGTGAGCTGTGATCATGCCACTGCACTCCAGCCTGAGTAACAGAGTGAGACTCAAAAAAAAAACCCTGATATCATCATAATTCTTATTAAGTTTTAAGAACCTAAGATGCAGATCTAAGTTTGAAGAAATTGGATTTTTGGGTTTGGTTTTATTGCTTTGTTTTTTTAAATTAATTATCCCCTTGTCCCCCAGGCTGCCCTATGGGGTGGAGCCACCTCCCTGTCCTGTCCTCCCAGTCCCAGCCACTGACCGACAATACCCTGGCCAGGGGCACCTTCGGTCACTGCCCTCCTGGCCGAGGACTGGAATGTAAACAACAATCAGGAGGACAATAGCCACCAGGAAGCTGTCATGCTCCTAGGGAGATGAGGCTCCACCCATGGCGGTCCACCCACCCTGAGGAGGCCAGTGGGGACACGCCTGCTCAGGAGGGAGCCCCCAGGTGACTGTGGGTGTAAGCCTGAGGGCCGTGTGCCCTGGGGAAATGGACTTCCATCTCTGAGCACTGGGACACGGAGGCTCAGCCCTGCTCTGTGCGTGGTTCTGGGCAGCACTGGGCTCCGAGCAGGAGCAAACACAGGGCTGAGAGGGACCCCTGAGAGAGGCTGAGTCAGCCCCCCCCCATGTCCTTGGCCCTCCCTGGGTACAGTATCTTGCCCACATCCCTGAAGCCTTGGCTCCCTCCCTAGGGGCACTGAGACAGCATTTGGCCACTGAGTCACAGTTGCCGCAGGGGAGTTCTTGGCCCAAGCTGTGGGCAAAACACTGTATGTTGTAAGTTTTTGGAAAATAACACATTCACATGACTCTAACTTCAAGAACCACAGAAGTCCCCAGCCCTGTCTCCCGGATACTCAGTTCCTCCCAGGGGCAGCCAAAATATTCTCAGGGTCTCTATACCCCACCCCGCCCCAGGTGCTTTATGCAAATCAAGCAAAAGTCTACATAAGGACTCTTCACAGGATCCACTCACTTTACCTCCTGGGAAAAGGCGGGGATCAAAGTTTTCCCACTTTACCAATGAGGAAACAGAGACCTGGAGAGGTGTAGTGACACTCAGGGAGTGAGTCAGGGGCTGGTGAGACCCCAACTCTGACTCCCAGGCTAGTGCTCCTGCCCTACCCTTTCTCCAGGTTCAAGGACTTGTGAGAGCCTACACTAGGGAGGCTGTGGCCATGGGCAGCCAGAGGACACTTTGCTAGTGACTGCAGCCTCATCTGACACCGGGGCAAGCCTGGGTGAGGGAGTGGAGATGGCTGGGTGGAGTCTGTCCCCTCTGCAGATGCTATTAGGAACATTTTGGTCTAGTCGGCTATTTGGGAAGGGAATGGGTGGGGGTTTTTTTGTTTTGTTTTGTTTTAACATTTTATAGATCATGACAGAATATAAACTTTGTAGCTTAAGTCCTGGCTCTAATGTGCAACAGCTGTGCTTTATTTATTTGTTTATTTGAGATACAGGGACTCTCTCTGTCACCCAGGCTGGAGTACAGTGTCACGATCACGGTTTACACAGCCTTGACTTCCTGGACTCAGGCGATCCTCCTGCCTTAGCCACCCAAGTAGCTAGAACTACAGGCATGTGCCACCATGCCCGGCTAGTTTTTTAGTTTTTTGTAGAGATGAGGTCTCAGTATGTTGTCTAGGCTGCTCTCAAACGCCAGGTCTCAAGCAATCCTCTCACCTTGTCCTCCCGAAGTGCTGGGATTACACGTGTGAGCCATTCATTGTACCCGGCCTAATTGTACCATCTAGAATATGTTACTGAACCTTTCTGATCTCAGACCCCCCCGCCTGTAAGATGAAGATCAGAAATAATAGCTGCTTATGGGGTTATGGTGGAATACGATAAGGCATATGACGAGCTTGGCACACTGCCTGGCATTCAACGAGCATTTATTGTGCATCTACTGTGTGCCAAGTACCTACTAGGTAAGGATACAGTGCCGCCGGGATCCAGGCTTGTAAAAAGAGCTCAATGGACAGTTGGAGCTATTGTTCAGTAAAGATGTTTGTCACCTCCTGCTCTGGGAAGTGGAGGTGAACTCACTGGGTCTTAACCTCAGCCCTGTCTGCGTCCCCTCTGGAATGTGGGTCCGTGAGAGGAGGGGCTATCTCGTTCCCCACCTCCATGTCCCTGCCTGACATGCAGTAGATATGCAGTGAATATTTGTTAATTGAATGAATATGAAGAGAAACAAAAGGACTTTCCCGCCCCCCCAACCCTAATTGCTTTAGACTGGAGGGTCCAATATGTGACCTGATCTCTTTTTCTATCTTCTTGACTATGCAGGTACCCATTTTATATTTAAAAATATCACGATTAGGCCGGGCTCGGTGGCTCAGCCTGTAATCCCGCGCCTTTGGGAGGCTGAGGTGAGTGGATTGCCTGAGCCCGCGGGTTCGAGACCCGCCTGGGCAGGGAGACCTCATCTGTACAAGAAATCAAAAAATCAGCCAGGCGTGGTATCGCATGCCTGTAATTCTGGCTACTCGGAAGGCTGAGGCGGAAGGATCGCCGGAGCCCAGCAGGCGAGGCTGCGGTGGCCGGGAGTGGCCACAGTCTGGGCGACAGAGTGAGACTCTGACTCAAAAAAAAAAAAAATCACGATTAGGCTGGGTGCGGTGGTTCAAGCTTGTAATCCCAGCAATTTGGGGGGCCGAGGTGAGAGGATTGCCTAAGTTCAGGAGTTTGAGACCAGCCTGGGCAACTTGGTGAGACCTCATCTCTACAATAAATCAAAAAATAAACCGGGTGTGATAGTGCATGCCCGTAGCTCCAGCTACTTGAAAGGCTGAGGTGGAAGGATCACCTGAGCTCAGCAGGTCAAGGCTGCGGTAGCCAAGAGCATGCCACTGCACTCCAGCCTGGGCGACAGAGTGAGACCCCAACTCAAAAACAAAAATTAAAAATTAAAAAATAAAAATAACACGATTAACATTAAAACATGTAACAGCCCCAAACCCATCCAAGGTGAATGATGCTGTGTCAAGTGACTGGCAGCAGGGATGAGGATTCAGGACAGGAGAGGATGGTGGCGTCGGCAGTCAACAGAGGCGTCCTATGGAGGGTGGGCCAGAAGCCAGGCTGCAGACACGGGGGCCTTGACACCGAGGGCAGAGATTGCAGGCAACCCAGCTCCTGCCACTATCTTAGGACACATGGGGCTGGGCTTAAGGGGACAGGTCTGCACTCCACTGTGTGTCCTCAGCTCCCTGTCCTGGGAGCCAGGCACCCCAGAGTCCCGAGCTATAACTGTGAGGAGCCAGTGGTTCTGTCCCTGTCCCTCTGTGAGTTCACCTGCATGCAGGGTCCTCTGGGGGCCACTGTGATGGTTGGAGGACTGCAGGGACCTGGTGTGACAGGCACCCCTCAGAGTTGCCCCCTCCCTTCGCTTGCCTTCTAAAAGTCAAGGACATGGGAGCCCAGGTGGCTGGAGTAGTCCAGACACCCAGGAAATTCTGATCCTGGGCAAATGTAATAGCAAAGAAAACCTGGGGGTGCAGCATGGAACCTGGGGGTGCACTCCAGGTAAGCCCCAGAGACAGGTGAAGGGTGAGGGGATCAGGAACCCCCAAATGGGGCAACAAATCTGGGGAGAGTGAAGTTCAATGTCCCAGGAACATTGGACACCCACGTTCATTGAACACTGAATGCCCAGATTGGGGGTGAAGAAAGAGTCCAGGCCGGAGAGGCTGTCACTGAGTGCTGTGTGACCCTGGCCAGCTCCCCTGCCCTCTCTGGGCCTCAGCCTCCTGCCCAATACAACAAGAGCATAGGGAGGCTAAGTGCAATGAACACACTAAAGGTGAGTGAGTCACAGACCTGGGGATATGGGATGGTGTCACATGGTGCCTGGATATAGCATTTAACCCCGTGGAATACCACAGTGAGGGCATCAGGGCCCTTTTGTCATTCGTATCACAGCAGGAGAAAGGAGGGTTACACGAAATCCGTGAAGCCTTCTCTTTTGCTACTGAGTTTTAATTGCCACACAACAGCAGGCCTCAAGCGTAGGGTCACTATCGGGCATCCGTCTCTGGCAAGAATTGAATGTCTTTCTTTTATGGCCATTGTCTTTGGGTCTCTTTCTATTTATAACAAGTGAGAGAGAAAGTTTATTCTTAGATACATTTATTTAAGGAAAAAGAAAAAAAAGAATAAACGCATGGAAACACAGCAAATAAATGGCTGTCCAGATAACATAAGGGTGGCAAAAACGGTGCAGATGGCCAAGCGGGGTGAGCAGAAGGGGCTGCCCTGGTAAAATGTCTGCCTCTGAACTCAAGAGGTAGGGGGTGGGGGGGCGGGGCAGCAGGGGGCTGGACAGGAAGGAGACGGATCCCGGGGGCCAGGAAGACCCCGCTGCCCGGACGCGCCTCATGTCCCGTGGGGGCTGGGCAGACACACATATATGGCCTCGGGGTGACCAGCTGGGACCACTCACTTGCCACTGCCCGGGAGCCATGCTCGTCGCCACTCTTCTGACCCTGGCCCTGCTGGGCAGTGCCCAGGCCTGCACCCAAGGCCCCTCGCGCGTGGCAGGCATCGTGTGCCGCATCACCAAACCAGCCCTCCTGGTGTGTGAGTATCAGTGCCCTCCCCTCTGTCCACGCACCCGTCTGCCCACCTGCCTGTCTGTCCAGCCAGGGCTCTTTCCAAGGACACCACTGTGCCAGGAGCCTCCCTGGTCAGAAGCCAGTCCTGGAGCAGGGGGAGGAGTGCCCTAGCTGGGGGATGGGCTGAGTCCAGCTAGCCTCACTCTCTCCTTCAAGGTCAAGCTCTTGGATGAAAAGGTCCTGGCTAGTCTGCCAACAGCCAGGTGTAGGTGTTGTGTTTGCTTGGGAACCAGAGTCAATCTGGAGTTCAAGTGAAGATTCAGAGCAGAGTCACACTGGTGGGGACAGGGGCAAGTCAGGGGTGACGGCCGGGAGGTAAGTGTATGCTTGGTGTTGAGGGTCATTCCATGGCCAGACTCAGAGGTCAACATGAACCCAGGTGGGGGAGGCTCTGTCATCAACTGCTGTGTAGTCTTGGCCAGCTCCCCTACCTGCTCTGGGTCTCAGTCTCTTGCTCAGTACAACAAGGTCATAGGAAGGCTAAATGATCCATTTCTAGACGAGAATATCCCCAGCTGTGAGACCCTGGATTATGGTCAGTTTATACTGGGGGAAGGGGAGTGTCACAATATGGTCTGGTAACACTGGGATCAGGGTGTGGCTGGTTTCACAGGCTGCTTTTGACTAAAATCATGGAGCTTCTCTGTGCGAGGATTCAGAGGCTAACATATGACCTGGATCTCTGGCTGGAGCCTGAGATCAGGGCACTCTGTGTCCCCTAAGAATTGTCATCTAATTTCTGTCTAGAGGGAGGCCCATCCAACCCCCTGGCTCTAAGGCCTGCTGGGGCCCCATCCCAGAAAGACTGGGCCATGGCCATGCCACGTGGGAGTGGGGGCTTGGCCTGGGCCCTCAGTCACTCCCTTCCCTTCTAGTGAACCAAGAGACTGCCAAGGTGATCCAGACGGCCTTCCAGCGAGCCAGCTACCCAGATATCAAGGGTGAGAAGACCATGATGATCCTTGGCCAGGTCACATACGGGCTACACAAGTGAGTTGGGCCCAGGGTGGAAGCAGGCTGAGGGCTGGGAGGAACAGCCTGGGACTCGCTCCAGCCCACAGGGAGGGAAGGCAGCCAGGAGGACTTGGGCCTCCCCGCCCCCACCGACTTGGATGGGGTGAGGACAGAAACTGACACTCCCTGCCCCCACCAGACATGCTTCTTCAACCCTGCCCTCACCCCAGGGTCCCGTGGGAACATACTGGTGTGTATCAACCTCTCCAACAGCCCCTGTGAGATTCAGGCCTTGAAATGGGCCCTTCTCCACTGCCCTAGGAAGATGGAGCCAAGGGAGGCTAGGGTCAAGGGAGGCTGGGCTGAGACCTCTTGGCAAAGCGAGGCTCCTAACTTTGGGGTGACAGTAGCAGGCACGGGTGGGCTGTGGCCCAGTGCCTTCACCTGCAATATCTCACTTTATCTTTATCGTATCCCTCAATGGCTCACTTAACAAATAAGGGACCGCAGAGGCTAAGTGCTTGGTGGGGACGCAGCAAGGTGGGCGATGACAGAGCTCATATGCAAATCCAGGCCTGAACACAAAGCTCAGAGTCTTCCTGGCACCTCAGGCTGTCCCAGAGCCTGGGTCTCTGTGTGTCTGTCTGAGGCCCTGGTGGTGGGACAAACACTGTTCAGAGACCTTATTTCTGTCTTAAAGCCAACGTCCTCCTCCCCACTCCCCTCCATACTCCCCCAGAATAGGCTCAGTAGAGGTGGACTTGGCTTTAGAAGCACACACGTTGGGACTGGAGTCTTAGTAAATGTTTCTGAGCCACCAGGGGGCGCCAGCAATGTAGAAGTGGTCCCAGGTCCAGCTCAGCTCCTCCCTTTTTGGGTGACCTTGGACTTCCGTGTACCCTTCTGTGAAAGAGGATAATGCCATCTTCGACCTACGTCGCCAGAGGTCAGAGATGGCAAAAGTGCCTTGAGAGGTTAAAAGAAATGGTAACCTTAATAATTCCATTAGTCTGGACTGCCATAGAATAGGTATCATTGACACACAGCTATTATCCGAAACAGATATGGCGTAGAAATAAAATGTGATTGGCCATGACTGATACTAGTCGAAGCTGGATAATGTGTACGATGAGACTGCTTTATGCTATTCTCTCTAAAGGGAACAGAAGACAATAGAACAGAACAGGGAAGCCAGGCAGATATGGATTCTCACGGCTGGGCACAGTATGTCATAGCGGCTTATCATCCAGGACTGGGACAGAACCAGGCTCCAATCCCCCTCTGCTGAGGCCTTTTACAGCCATCTGAGCCATTTCCATCTCCGCTCCACGGGTTCCACAACAACTGCTGTTGTACGGAGCGGCTGCGAGGATTGCCCAGGAGTCGCCTGAACCCTCAGTGCAGTGCCCACCGCCCAGCCCATGCTCGAGATGTGACAGCCGCATTTATGGTGTCATATTCCATGTGTCCGAGCCGAGCCCTGGCAAAAGAGGGGAGGAGGTAGTACGAGAGTCAGGATGTGTCCCACTGGCTTCATGCCTCCAGTCTCTGCCCTCCATCCCCTGCTTCCTGAGGGTCCTTCGCGAGACCCTCTTCTGACCAAGCTCCCTGCAACAGAGATCCTCTAGTGCTCACCCCAAGACCCAAGTCAACTCCCGTGTCAGAGCCCTTCCAGACCTGGTGGAGGCCACCCTCCGAGCTGAGCCTCCTAGTATCCTCCAAACTCCCAGCCCTATCCCCGGATCACCTCCTCAGGGAAGCCCTCTGTATTTGCTTCCTATTTTCTGCTGTAACAAACCACCACAAATTTAGGTTAAAATTATACAAGTTGATAATCTTACACATTGAAAAGCCTAAAAGTCCCTCATGGGTCTCACTGGGCTACAATCAACGTGTCAGCAAAACTAGGTTCCTTCTGGAAGCTTCCGTCATTGTCAATGCCCACAAGGTTTCATGTTGGCCATTCTTTCCTGTCACATCTCCCCCTACCTCCCCTGCTCTGCCTTCTTCTCTGCTTTTCAGCACCCTTGTGCTAAAACAGGACCACCCAGATAATCCAGGGTCATTGCCCGCCCTCCCCCGACCCCTGGCCCCCGCCCCGCCCCCGTCCATAACCTAATCATCATGCTGTGTCAGGTAACATAGTCACAGGTTCTATGGATTGGGGAGTAGACATTTTGGGGGGCCACACCTTCACCTTTGTCCCCTAGGCACAGTCCCCTAGGCATATCTCTTACTCCTTGGGGGGATCCCCAGATGACCTATATCAGTGAGGGTGACTCTCTGCCCATCTGATCACTGAGCTCCTAGAGGGCAGGACAGGGCTTGTCCCAGAGTGGGTCCTGGCAGCGCAGGCTGAGCAGAGAAGAGGTGACTCTAGTGTCCCTTTGCCTCCTCCCCACAACTCCCTTCCTTACTGAGATTTGTCCTACCAGCATCCAGATCAGCCACTTGTCCATTGCCGGCAGCCAGGTAGAGTTGGTGGAAGGCAAGTCCGTGGACGTCTCTATTCAGAACACGTCTGTGATCTTCAAGGGGACCCTGAAGTATGGTTACACAGCGGCCTGGGGGTAAGCACTGCCATCGGCCCACGCACCACTCCCCGGCCCTCTCTGGGAGAGAGGGCAGAGTGAGGGCCTTGGTGCTTGGCTCTTTGCAGGTTGAGCGTTGATCAGTCCATCGACTTCGAGATTGACACCTCTATCGACCTACAGATCAACACACAGCTGAGTAGGTGTCCAGCATCTTCTGGGGAGACACCGGGAGGCTGGACTCTGGGGACTGGCCTCAGCAGAACAGAGAGGTTGTGTAGGCAGAGGGTTTTGGGGCCACCCGAGGGGGCCCAACACTGAAAGTGTGCAGGGCGGGGAACCTGGCGCTGGTCAAGCTCCTGACGGGTCTGGGCAGCAGGTGGGGCACGCAGTAGCCAAGGCTGCCCTGATGTGGCTTTGGGGCCCCCCTGTAGCCTGTGACTCTGGCAGAGTGCGGACCACTGCCCCCGACTGCTACCTGTCTTTCCACAAGCTGCTCCTGCATCTCCAGGGGGAGCGAAAGTGAGTATGCCACCCCGGGCCCCACACTCCTCTGGGACCCCACCCTGGTAGTGTGCTTTGGAATCTTACAAGGTTGTACTCAGCAAAATCAGATTTTTCAAAGAACAAATGGTTTTCAGGAATTGCAGGCTTGTAAATCGTCAACTTCAGAAGGGGGGTTTTAGATAAGACTCTTTTCCATTTCCATGAAATAGCCAGTCTCTGGGCCATTTGGCCTTTTTTAAACAAAACCTGAGCCGGGCTCAGTGGCTCAGCCTGTAATCCCACGACTTTGGGAGGCTGAGGTGAGTGGATTGCCTGAGTCCACGGGTTCGAGACCCGC